TTCCTTTAGCTCCGAAACTAAGCGAGAAAGAATAAGGGCGCCGGGATCAGAGTTTTTTGCTTCGAAGAGGAGATTACGGAATCGAAGGCCTCGACACTGAGTTCGAGTCCCGACAAGGATGGTTCCTGTTGACGGGAACACAACCGCGATAAAAGAACGACGCCAAGGCAAAATTCTTTGGTTTCGGAGAGGAAATTACGGGGTCTAAGGTCACGGACACGAATACACAGTCCTCGGTTCGAGTCTCTATTATTATGTTTTTTCTGGGGTAATTTTACGGGCGTGTTAAATGACGCACGTTTAATGATGAGGTCCATTAGCTACAAAATGATCTACAAGAATTCTATGCCCTTGTCATCCTCATCAATCCTGGTGTGCTTGGTTCAAGTACAGGCATGTGTCTTTTTGGCGCTGCAAAGTAGACAACTGAGCAAGGGAGAATTATGTATATACTACAGCAAGAATGAGTCATGTTACCTGTTGGTAAAGTTACTGGCTGTGAACCAAATAACCAGAAGGGGGGAAAACTTTTTTTCTTCACATTTGTGTCCAAAGTATTTCTTGGATCCATTCAAAGTCCAGTTCTTTGTTACGGGAATATTTTGCTTTGTGTTTTTATGCCATGTTTTATTTATTTTGTTTTCTAGAATAATGAAAAGAACCCTTCCTTCTCTGAGCATACGTGTGATATCAAAGAAATTACAGAATTACAATTGTTATAGTAAGAATGCTGTGATACTTTTAACATATTCAAAAAGAGCAACAGGTAAATATTTTGATTAGTGATTCAGCTACTGATCTTTAGTTTAAAGAATTTTGGAATTATTTGAAGAACCCTCATTGGCATCAAGACAGATCTTCATCTGCTGATGAAGACACAATAGAGCTGAACCACTGCACCAGTTGTTTTATTCTTTTTCTTCTTTGCATTTGACATTTTTCTTCTCTGCAATTACAATGTACATAATGGTCTTCGGAGATGTTGCACCACGTATTCTGGCAGATGTTGACCGTTTCCTTCAGAGAGGTGACAAGACCGCTCATCACTCTGATCATGGAGGTTACTCCAAAATGCTGAAACGTCATTATCTACCATTCTGCACAATGCAACATCCCAGATGACGGCCATCTTCATACGTGAACCTCAAATCTCACATGCATATTGGGTTGAGTTGATCATACAAATTCATTTTTAACTTACTCTTTTGCACTGCCTCACTTTGTTTATTCTTCCTTAGCAAATTCATAGCATCATTTGCTTGTCTGGGTCTGACATGTTTCTTCCCTGTGTATAAAAATTGTATCTTTTATCTTAACCTATAGCATGTACCTTCAAACTATGTTAAACGTACAAAGATTTGTTGTATTTTTAGTCACCAGATAATGATTGCACTTATTATATCTGTAAACAAAAGGACTACCCCAAAACTGTTGACACTTTCCACTCCAAAATTAGTCAACACGGTAAGAGATAAATTGGTCCTGTAAAAAAGTTCAACCTTGCACCAAGAGATGGCATCAGAGATCAGTCATGTTGACAATTTTCTGACATGCGCTGGTTCTTCATTGTTGGCATGGGAGAAGGAAAGCTTACTACACAAAACCCTTATGTATATCAAATCTAAAAGTTCTTATGAATCACACGAAAGTTTTAATATTAGTGGGGTCTGTACTTTTGTACTCCAACCTATCTGATGACGATGCTCTATTATCTGTAACTAAGAAACCATTTGTGAACAAAACATAATGCAGCTTTCAGCATTACTAATACCAAAATCCAACATTGGACATGGATTACAGTCATTTCCCATGTGTTTGCTTTCAAAGAAGTTTGTTTCCTAACCAAATTTTGCATGTTCCTTATCTCCCCTGTATCAGTTCTGTGTTCAATTCATCTTAATACCAACTTAACCAACCTAACAATACTCGTTGACTTGTGTAAGTCACATAAATTATTAGTGTTATTATATAATATTCTCCACACACTTCAACCACATTTGGATCAAATATTTTTCCCTGAGCACTGGTAATATTCATTGTGTTCTACTCCATACAGATAAAACAATTATTAATTTGTCTATACATATATTATTTTAATGTATTAGCTGTAGTTTTATGAAAAATAAGCAATCCTTTTTAACATCCTTTTCGGAGAGGAGGAAGACCATTATGAAATATCCTTTAATAGTTTGTGAATCCACAAGCAAAATCACAGACAGGAAATCTTCAGACTCACTGTTGTGAAAATCTCAAATCTTACACAGGAAATCTTTTATGGAGGTTATAGCGCGGAATAAATACTACACACAAATAATACAGCAGATTTTCTGAAAAGGAAGGAAAGTTAATTTCTGAAGGGGTCAGTTATTTGGATACAAGTTTTATATTTTGTTTTCATAATAATGTATTCCTTTTTTAGATGATCACTGTCCTGCTCACTACAGCTCTCCCACACTGTTCAGTCCATTTTGTTACAAAACAAACATTTTTAGGTTTTCTGTCTTATCATGGTGGTTATGAAGTTTCCGGAGAATGGTTAATGCTAATTTTCTACTGCCAGATGGGTCCCTTGATGATTTGCTACATTTGCTCTGTATCTAATCTTATATATAAGAGTTAACAACTTGCCACTAAAGTGTTCATATTGGACCGAATTTACTACCATAGGTTACTGATCAGATTACAGAGACCCATTAGCGACATGGTCGTGTATTGTCCATGCACTTAACTTGTGACCTGCATTCTGCTGTACATGGTAACTATTTATGCAATAAGAATAATTATTGATGTTAGACAAGATATATAGTAAAGGTAAGGCTGTTTCTCGGACTAAACTAAGAAGCATGACATGCCAGGATGTGAAGTGTAACTTAGCACATTCTTTCAGCTTCACTCGCAAAAAATCTGCAGGCTTCTACAGCTGTAACTAATGTCTCTGTTCTTGGATGACAATAATACGCTGTGGTGGGGTAGTTTGCCATTTTTGGAGAAGCTGGCTGTCTCCACTCCCAAATGTCCTGCTTTCAAGAACTATATATATATATATATATATTGATATGAGACCATTTTTGTTTGCCTTTGAGATTGGAGCAGCATTTCCAGGTGTCTTTGCAGGACGTCAGTTTAAATGATTTTAGGTCAGCTAGTAATACTTATTACAATGAGTATGCATTTTTGACATTGTAACAATGTGCTTTCTAATACTCGTAAATGAGCTGGTTTTAATACTGATTGCAGTTTAAACTCTATATGGATTGTACTTATTGTTGTTCAGTAAAATATGTGTCAGCTGTGCATGTCAGTATTGGTAACTTGCGTAATTCTAAAACGTTTCCTGTAAGTCATCTTTTAAAGAAGTCTAGTCTTGTTCATCTGCAAAACAGAAAAAACCGGGGTTCACTCTCAACGCTTTTACTAATGTGTGGAGTAAAACAATATAGCCAGGTAAGAAATGGTTCCTTTGCTGAATTATGTGAACGAAATATACTTACAGTTCATTACTCTTAGCTTTAACGTTGGCAAAAAGCAGTTTCAACTATTGGCACCCCTGCATTCTTGTGTTATTTACAGATATGCATAGATGGCAGGATAGGTGGCAATGTTACTAATCGATATGGGGCTTGGTGATATTCTTTTGTCTTTAACAGCTGGCCGTGGTCTGCATTTGAAGTCTTGGAGGTTGAGACGGAGTACCTTCCATCTTCTTTTACTGAAAACTGAAATATTAAAGGTTCGTAAACATACACTGGATATATAAATTAATTTGTGGAAAACTTTAGACTAATTGATGTAATTAGGTAAGTAGATTTGTGTTTAAGTGCTTTCCTACATTGACTATTTGTGTGTCATTCTCTTGGTTCTCTTAATGTTCCATCTTTTAGTTCAGATATGCTGCAAAGGAACTGTTTAAAGTTGGGTTTAATTTGTAATGGTACTGTAGTTTCTTCTTCATTTGATAAAGCTACTTTAGTGAAATTTGTTAGATTCTGATACCTGCGTTTCAATACTCCTTAGTACCAAGTAGAACACCATACAGAAGGGGGTGAGCTATGTCTTGTGACATAACCTTTCACAGCAGCAGAAATTTAATTTTTCCTACATTATATAATAATAATAATACTGGTTTTAACTTCCAAATATTTCTATTATTTCAGTAGTTGTAACTTTTATTCATTGTTATTCTCCTTTCCCACTTTTATAGGATAATTTGTCACTTTGAGCCTGAACTAAATTGTGTGTATTTGTTAGTTAAGAAGGTGATTGATGTTAAAATGCTTGACTAATTATAAATCCTTCTTTTATAGGTTACTCCTGCCAACTTTAAGTCTACTAGAATTTTGTTAACAACATATCCAAACACCTCTAGAGCCAAACCAAGTCTTTTGTCCAAAGGATGTAAGGAGATGGCTCATTTCTGAGTTCACTCCCCAAGTAGTCTGGCTGAAGTTTACTGACATTTGAGTGTTACTACCTGCATCCAATCATGATGACTATAAGTGACGCTGATGATGAAGACAGCAAGTACATCTGAAATACAGGTAAACTTCTATCGGACCACTCAGTTTCACAACCCAGAAAACAGCCGTCTTCACATCCGCTGTAATGAGTATCTCAAGTCCTACCTAAATGAAGAACGGTTGCAAATGTGACCACTTGCGTTGTTTACGTGGAGCTCATCATTTACTTCCACGTTAAATATTATGGTTTATCCTCGTGGAGAGACTTGCACTTTATTCCTTAGGCAGGCAGAATTCTTAGGAATCAGAATATGTAACCCAGAAATCTGCCCTCTTGAGAAGTGTATGTTCAGGCCGTGAGGTTACCATGATAGGATCAGTGTAATTTGTTATTTATCCAGCGAAACCCTCTGATGGGCACGATCTGTTTCACACTGAATGTCAGAGGTGTGAGGAGTGAGCTGGACCAAATAAAGACACCTGGTTCATTTTCTTTACATTAAGGAGAAAAATACAACTTCAGTGATTGTAAAATATATACCTGTAGTGATGAGCGGTAAACAGTGACCTGTGATTTTGTCACTGTGATTAGAAAATCACTATCACTGCAGTGGTTAAAGTGCTCACTAAACAGTGATCACAGTGATTCTTAATTTCTTATGCATCCTAGTGAGAAAACGGGACACTATTTTGACTGCTCAGAGCAGTTTAGAGTCAGTTCACAGTGATTCTCAGTAATTTCTTATGCATCCTAGTGAGAAAACGGGACACTACAGTATTTTGACAGCTCAGTTCTACTGTCTGTGAATATTAAATAAACGATTTCTATACATTTTGTTTCTTTTAAAACTTGATTCTGTTTTATAATGTATATTAAATAAATTATATTGTCCGTATCATCATACATGGAGCATAATAATAATGCATTTGACTATACAAGTTGCTATAGGCCTATGGGTACTGCTATCTTTAAATAATATTATTATACAATTCTAATGTATTTACCTTGTGTTCAGTTTCCAAAATGGCTGAAGGTACATGAATGCATAACGAGTGGATCATTTCGTATTCCTGTGCGGTGTGTAATAAATCATTCACGCACAGGAGTCTACTGAAGAGACATCAAATCATTTTTGTGGATTAAGACAAAGTTCCTTTAAGTATAAGGGACTAGTGTTGACAGCGAGGTTGAGAAAATGTGAACTGGATTTGTATGGCTTATAGAGTGTCCAGTGATTGGCTTAAGTGAACAAAGTCTGGGGTTTGCATAAGGTGAGAAATTTCTTGAGTAGCAGAGTGACTGTTCGCCACTCAGTAAGGGCGGTGCTCTGTGCAGTGAGCGAACAAGTGAGTTATTCTGGTTTTATGTTTGAGAAATAGGAATTTAATATCAGTGTGGAATAATGGCCAAGGAATTCCAGTTGTTGAGCTCAAAGATGAAAAAATATATGTGCCTACTATGATCTTTGGTCATTTATTGACATCTTCTAACTACAATGATGAAGAGGAAAAGGTTACAGGAGGTAGAAATGGTTATGGTGCTAAGCTGTGTAATATATTTTCATGGTAGAAACAGCGTCTAAGGAATATAAACGCAGTTTTAAACAGGTAAACAGTTGTGTGTGTCTGTGGTTGAGCTCAATCTTTGAATAGAGTTTGCTGTATATAAAGGATAGAAATGTGTCACAGAAGGCCAATGAAATTTCGTTATCTCTTTCATAATGAATGTATGTCCTTCTGATCCATTCAGTGAGGATCCATCGGCATGTATGATTTCTACATTGTGAATACCCTTACATACAGATGTATGTATTCTTGTCATGTCTTCGAAGATCCTGTTTTGATGTTGTATGTGAGATGAAAAGTCCGGGCTCCGGTTATATGTTCAAGTAACTTAACCTTATCCTGTATATATTATGGTACATGATAACTGCTTTAAAAGCCTTAACACTTATACATGGAAAGTATTTTCTGTATCCATTGTGAGATTTTCTCCCGGAATGATTCCCTATTTGTAGGTTTGGGCAGTAACATGTGAAAAACATCAGAACCTAGAATTAAAGACCACATAGGAGAAGATTTCACAAAAATTTCCTTCTCACCAGACTTATCAAAGTTTAAAATGGAGACCTTGGATAAAGGCATTATAGCTCTGATGTCCGGAAGAGCATATGATGTGGCAGCTTCGTCACGTGAAGTGAAGGTGTACCTCAATGGATAGAGACTTCCAGTACGTTTCCTGCAATATTTTATATTGTAACTTGTTTATTTATGATGCTGAACTGTAACATGTATAAATGTTGCAAGAATTTAGATTTTCATTTGGTTATCTTGAAAAAGTGTTTGAAGTAGGTAACACCACCCAGCAACATAAAACATAAAATTCGCTTTGGGTGTTAAAGTCTGCCATCAGATTTCATCAGGAATTGGCAAGTGTCATTGCAGTCTTAAAGTAAAGCTGTCTCAATGTATGCCATGTAGGCGCTTTGGGGGGGAATATATACCTTCTACTCATTCTTAAGTCTTCTTATATATAAAAGTTGTCATTGTTGTGTTTGTATTGGTACCATTTTTCCATGTACTGTCTGCTTTTTCTTTGCAGGTATTAGATATTTTTATGTTAAAAGTTTTAATAACTTTTTTCTTTGGAGTACTAGAACATGAAATACAATTATCTGGAAATCAAACTACTGTTATTGCAGGGGTTATCAACCTTTCAAGATCAAGGGCCTCCAATTTTTAATTGATGACTGTAACTCATGATAACTTACAATCAGAAGTCACTTTCAGTTTACTCATAGGTATTAGGGTTTGTCGGTTTTTAAAAACTGTTTTTTTGGATAAATTTGTAAAATTCGAAAACCGGTTTTTAAAATTTAAAAAACCGGTTTTAGATACTAGAATTAATGTGTAAAAATTAATTAATTAAAAATGTTAACTACTTGAAGTATGTGGGAACGCAGAGGTTTTAGGAGTTCCCGACTTGGAAATTCCCTTACATCTGAATTCCCTGCTTTTAGCCTAAGTGGGTTTTATCGCTAGTTAGCGAGGCCCTTTTGGAAGTAAAAGTGTGGGGAGGGGAATCCCTGAGAATTGAGTGAAAGTGGAGGTCTGTTGAGCCGAACCTGGACCCACAACAAGAGGAGTTGAGGTTACAATCCGAGTATTCAATACGGCTGTACGAACTGGCCGTGACACCGAATGAGAGCGAGTCGATGCAGACCGATTAGCTGAGCCGAGCAACGAACCCTGAGAGATCCCAACATCATCGTAATAGAGCTTCTTGCGGTCAGCGAGGAAGGAGGAGAACGGTCACATTATTATTATTGTTTTAGTTAGTAAAAACAAAAACAACGTAAGTAAATTTATTAATGTCTATTCTAATAATATAATATTCTTTCATTATTAAATATTAATGTCGTTGATAAAAATATTTAAAACATTTCTTTTGATTTATAGACCAAAATGAATGTTGCAAATAAGTCGGAGGTTTGGGATAATTTCAAAAAGGTTGGAAACGACAAGGCATGCTGCAATCACTGTCATAAACTGTTGAGCTGCAAAGGATCATCTACGAGCAATCTCCATAATCATCTGAAAGCAGTTCATAAAATAATAATCGACAAGAAAACAGAAACGATCGACAAGCAAGAAACACCTGGACCCTCTTCTTGCCCACAAAAACAAGAGCAGTTTAGAAGAAATTGTAGCAAAACTTGCTGCGATGGATGGATTGTCCATTAATAGCATTACAACAAGCTCGTTCATAAGAGAGTCTTTGCAACAACCGGGATATTCGTTACCAAAAAACAACTCTCGAGTAATGGATCTCATTCATACGTTTTATGACAATGCCAAACGTGAAACTATAAATGAATTGGATTGTATGAAGAAGAATGGGAAAACATTTTCTATAACTTTAGATGAGTGGACTAGCAAAAGAAATCGCAGATACTTGAATATCATATATTTGCGGAAGATTTTAATTTGGGCTTAGTTCCAATAGCTAGTTCCTGCGATGCTAAGAAAACATTAGAATTAGTTTCTGAGAGGCTACAAATTTTTAACTTGGATCTAGCAACCGACATAGTTGCAGCGACAAATGATGGTGCCGCTGTTATGAAAACATTTGGCCAATTATCACCTATAATTAATCAACTATGCTATTCACACGCCATACACTTAGCAGTTACTGACGTGTTATATAAAAATAAAGAAATTGCTGAAACCGATGTATATGTTACAAGTGAGAAATTGGAAGATGACGTAGAGTGTGAAGATGATTATGGCGAGGATTTTTTAAATTCTCTTGATCTAGATAACATCTGTGGATTCCCTATGTTGTCTGACAATTACAAACAATCAATTTCACAAATTAGAAAAATCTCTCGTAAGAGATAGCGTCCTTCAGAATTATGTAAAACAAGAAAAAGAAAAGGAATTAAGTCTGATTCTTGACTGCCAAATGAGATGGAATAGTTTAGAGGCAATGATTGAAAGATTTATAACATTAAAAGAATGTGTTGTTTTAGCTTTGAATGATATTGGTGCTTCTCATATGTGGAATGAAGCTCAATATCCTAAAATCATGGAGCTTCTTAAAGTGTTGGGACCAGTACGACTAGCAGCTGAAGTCTTAGGGCGGCGAGCTGCCAATTTATTAACAAGTGAGGGCATATTTGAATTTATGTTAAATGAACTAAAAAATTTAAAGACTGAAATTAGTTCCAAATTATTAAATGCTTTAGAAGTACGAATTCAAGAAAGAAGACAAGTTGGATTGGTAACCCTTTTGCTATATTTGCAAAATCCACGAAACATTTCAACAAAGAAATCTAGTGTATTTCCACTAGCTTCAAAACTCGATATTATTAAGTTATCTGGAAAAATATTGTCTAGAATATATCCAAATCCTTGTATGGAAATAGATTCCGATGATGAATATATCGGAGACGGAGAAACTATTAATCAGGGCAATGCTCTAAAAGAAGCCATGGAAAAATCAATTCATAGGTTTCTTGAGGAACCTGAAGAAATAATATCAAATCCGAAGACATTGAAGGCCGAATTTTCAGTACTTGAGGCAACCAATAAAAGAACAAAGAATTTGGATTTATTATTTGATGCCCTGAAAACGATAAAACCAAGTTCAGTAGCCAGTGAGAGAGTATTTTCTATTTCAGGCAATTTTGTATCTAGAATAAGAACAAGATTAAGTAATCGTTTAGTGGACATTTTACATTTTTTGAAATCATATTTCCTGAAGAAAAATACTAAATTAAATAAAAATTTATAATATATATTTTGTATGGAGTATATTTTATTTTGTTATATTTTTGTAGTTCCATAAATATTAAATAAACTGAATAATTTTAAAATAAGTATAAATATTTTTTTACTGTTTTAATTATACTTCTTCTTTTTGTAAATATTCGAAAACGGGTATTTAGGTATGGCCTTATCACACATTCTTGAAGAAAGGCCCAGAGTGTGAAGTCCGTGCAGGGACTTCAGGCATAATTTCAAATGTTGTGCCCCTTCTAGAGACATGCCAGAGCAGTCGGTTATATCCAGGAACTTAAGATTGCTACATCTCTGTCCAATTGCTCTAAGGCTTGCATCTGTCAGCTTGGAGCATCTCTGCGGAGAAAATAGTTCCCATTATTTAGCACTTGCAACAGATAACAATCACACTGCTATGTATCAATTATCCAGAGAAGTTTGAAGAAAATTGTAAACATATCATATGACAGTTGTTTGTGTACTGTCCACGATAAACACATCACTGAACAGTAATGAAATGCAAAATTGTAATATTTCACAGAAAAACAATCCTTTACATATTGTCTTATGACAAACTCCTCCATTTGGAATTCATTGTCACTGCAGATTTTCCATATCCCCAATTGGTAATTATTTTTAAATATTTTATTTTTGGCATATATATATATATATGGTTTTTATTTTGAAGATACTTTTATGCGGAGATTTGTAATGAATCACTGTGAAACTTTAATTTGATAAACCATCATGATCTATCACAGTTTCTACTCTTAAAATGTTTTATTTATTTTATTTATTATGATTGAAAATACTTTGTTTAGTTTCAGATCTGAAGGACTTCCCTATAAAACATATTTTATTAAAATAATTTAATAATCTGAAGTAATCATGAGGAACCACAAAAATACAATCCTGGGTTCTCGCTTATTAACTTTATCAGCATGTGTTAACAAGTTAACTTTCTTGATATAAAGTGACATATACCTGCAATTCAAGATGTTTCAG